ACTCATTCCACGACTCTACTTCTCCTTACTTTGACAGTAAACGCTTCCAAAATACGACGTTTACAACCTGGGTGTGCAAAAACGCACTCCTATGGTCTGATTGGTGAGCAAGATATAGACTATTGTGGGGCTATCCACCTTATCGGTATCACCCCGTCCGCTGGCTAAGTAGTCGCTCGAATAGCTAGAACAAGTGCCATTTCCAGTTGCCCAGATTAAACTTTTCTGAGCAACTGTTGGAGTTTGAACAACAATCTAGCAGTATACCGCCACCATGGTCCAGAAAAGAGATAGCAACAACTTGTCCACATGCTAGAATATAGAACCACACTAACTTGGGGTTAGCCAGAAGAAATACTTTAAATTCATTGATTAAGTCAACCGCAGAGTACCGAGCTTCCCAGACAAGTCAGTGAAGCAGGAAGCTAACTCACCTTTATACAAAACCGCCTGAACCACATTCCGTTCAAAAAATGAACGGCCGAAAATCGCACCCTGATTCAAGTTGTTTGCAGTCATTTCGGCAATATAGCTCAGAGTCGGTGGCTGTATAAGTAAAGAATATTAAAAAGCTTGGAGGCTAGAAAGTGTAATGGTGGTTTGATGACGCTTAAAAATTTCATTCTTAACATGACAGCTGACGGACCGTTCCCAGCGCAATCCTGAGAAGCCTTGAGATAAAATGCACCTGAATGCTCAAAAACAAGCCCGCCGTTCGAAATGGAAATACCTCTCAGGCGCGACTATGACAACTTGATCCACCTAAGCATACTCAACTGAGTCGGATCCACCATCGTCATCATCGACAACATAAATCAGTTTTCAACAATAATGCTTTGCTGCGGTGTAGATTTGACTTATTTCAATGCATAATTGTAAAGAGAAAATGTGCATGGCGAAGGTGCAGCGGAGCCTATGATAGTCACTCGATTTGATCCACACATTCAAACACTAATTCGCGCTAGCTAGATGGAAAACAACAACGAGAGCGCCCTTCATTTCGATTACCAATCATATCTTGCAGTCTCCAACCGTGCATATTAAACAGCATGCGGATTTCATCTTGAAGGTGAGTCGCGGAGGACGTACACAGACATATCTTTTTCATGCACTTCTGTCGGGCCAAAGTTTTGCCAACCCTCCAGTTACCCTCTTCTACCATTTTGAAAGAGAATAGTTTAGCACATGCAAGAAATGGTACAACCATCACTGCTTTTAGAATCGGATACATTATTCGTTTGCAGTCCGGTACCTCGTTGCGGATTCGCTAATCCCGACCTAAACGAGCTACAGTTCTCGGTAAAAATTGTGAACGAACTGAAGGCTTCTCAGTTTCTTTGCTCGAAAAGACTGCGTCTCACAGCCGTATAACAAAACGGCGGGCAGTCTAGCCCGATACGCAGATTCCTTGAGATTCGGAAAACTATGGACTGATGCCATCCGCGTGTCAAATCAACAGACACAACCCGAGGCCAAGCAGATAGGCGTCACATTGCAGTCGGAGCTAGTGCAAATTTCAAGGTATCTACAACACTCCTGAAATTTTATTGACCCCTCTAGATTGTAAGTGGTGTATTCGGCAAATGCATGTCTTGCAGCATGGCTTTATCCAAACGGCTAGACGATTCTTCTCAGTTTGTCCGAAATACCTGTGCCTCTCTTTGACAGCGAGAGAGAAGTCGTCGGGAGATTCCAGATCGGCAATATTTTTTTCAGCAGCTATTTAAAGACCATGAACTTGTAGACTTTCCAGAGCCACCCGGCAGCTAAATTAAATATGAAGGGGGAGAGTGGGTACCCCTTACTACACCACTCTGTGTAGGGAGCTTCTGGAGAGCTTTCCGTACACTTCTTCACGCCAAAACGTATGGGAATGTAGGGAACCTATTGAGTACACGGACTTCTGAGATGTTTCTTGGATTGCATGAGTGTCAACGTGAACGGATATTGATAATGATGATAATGTTTATTCCCAACTTGTGGGTGGCATGCCTAATGAAGCTTTTGTGTGAAAAGCGAAACGTTGTCCGATTAAAAAATACCGGGTTTTTTTACCAAGTCCTTCTGAAACGATGCGTCTTCAATGGGTTTTAAAGTTTTTCCAATTGATTGAATCCCCTGCCTCGTTTCAGTCCTCAAACTGGAGTGCCAGCAGTATGTTTTTCAAACCTCTAAGATTTGTGCAAAATGGAATGAGATATTCTATGATCATCCCCTAGTATGGTTCCGTCGAGGCACGCAAATCTTTGCACTAAATTGAGGTCCACTTTCTTTGTTGCATGGAATCGTATCACCATGCCTACACTATGTGCTTGTGGGTCTGCCTGGCATCCACCAGAGGTAAGTTTAGTCCAACTTCTAATCGAAATCCGTGCGGCTCGATTGTCGCACCACGTCGTGGCCATGCAATCACCAATCCGGCTTTCGGTCTATCTATCTATGCGAGCGTTTGCATAACCCCTGGTAACAAGTAACAGGGTGGGCCAATGATGTTGGCTTCAGGATTGCGGACACTTCCACGTTGGCCCTCCAACCCCTCAAACACTTCGAATGAAGGGCCTTTTGGCAAACACCTACTAGCTTTCCCTTTATTAAAATGGCATGTATGGAGCACGCATTACTTGTACCGTCGACGGGATATATAGACTCAGAAGATTCCACGAGTTTGAACCGGTTTGTCTTAAACTTTCTGTCTCTTTTGGTACAATCCAGTCTTCCTGCCTAAAGGCCTGCCGACAACCACGAACAAGGAAGCGTTCTTGTCTTTACTCGGGGACGTCGCAGACGGAGTGAGAGTTAAGTGGGGGTCAGTACTCACAAACAGGCTTACGCTTATCCAATCTTCACTCAGAACAAGGAGCAGGAAGTTAGTGTCCCCATGATTAGAAACATTTTGGCCATTGACGTGTCCTAAACCACTCCAAAGTGTATTCGAACATCCGGCCGGCAGCACCTGCGTTGCCACTTTTAGCGAACGCAAGCTCACCAGAATTTCGCCGCTTGTCTTTCCATTATTATTGCACCACTGTTTCTTGGCACACCCAGATTGGACGTAAAGGAAACTGACTTTAGAAAGTCATGCAGATGGCCATCGAAATATCCACAGTACATCGAAAATTCTCACAACCGAAGACGGCCTTCCATCCTGAAACCACTTCCAGTTGGACACCTCCGCCTCCGTGGCTATCCTGTGCATATGTGTAGGCTACTCTCAAACCCATCGTTTGTTTGATTCCTGACAACCTTCCATGAAAGTCACCTACGTAGCAGCTTCCGTAAACTCCTTACCCTGTGACCCTTTACCCGTCAGAGTTAAGATGTGTTTTGACAGGCAGCGGTCCCCCTGTAGAGCGAACTTCAAGCTTTAGCAGCTGTGATTCTGCAACAAGAGGTTTCCGGATGCCCTCGCACCACAACATTTTTATATATACCTTACCCTACCACCTAGCAACTTCTCAACAGAAACTTGTCATGTTTCTGGTGGGACGGTGCGCTTGCCTTGGATGTATCGTTCGATTACGTATTGATGTCCGTGTTTAAATATGTGCGCGACAGTAGTGTGTTTGCTTCGTCTCCTGAGCCTTTCGATTTTACGGGATGCATGCAATTCACCAAGACCAAAATGGCCCAACCATATTCGGTTGCGTGAGCCCTTGAAACACGAAGGACAGGGTAATAAATCCCCGTTTCTTTCTACCCTTTCAGCGGCGGTTTCTTCCTCTCCCGTTCCTACCTTATTGGATTGGACTCCTTTCACTTCGACTCAGATCCCGCTTTTGTGAAAAACACGGAATTTGCGTTTCCTTTTAGTTTTCTTTCGTTTTCAGCAAAACCCCACATTATTTCTCGGGTGGGGATTAGGATTTCAGTATCGGAATCGATCGAATGATCAGAATACGCTTATAACCGAACCTACCTCACTTGGAATGTTGCAGGCCCTGAGTATGTTCCATATGGACCTCAATGCGCCTTCTTCCAGAGGCCGGTGGCTAAATTCCACTATTTCTCTCCTTACCAGGTGAGGTCAGGTCTTGGCAATATCCTAGCGGAAGTATAACACTCTACCAAGGAAGAATATTCCATTGCTGGTTGAAATCGCCCTCAATCACCACTCTATTCAACTGCAAGCACCAAATCGGTGGCTGGATTCAATAGCCCATACAGTAGAACAGGTGACGACACCCACTATCCGCACAATACTCTCAGCTGCAAAACCTTCGCAAGTGGAGTAAAATTCTGTACGCCGAGATGTTGCATTTTGTTGCATTTTGTGCTCGAGCTAGAAACCCTTCTAATCTACGTTCATATTTTTGCAGCTCACCAAAGTGTGTTGTTCACTAGTATCCTTGATGCAAAGTCTTGTGGGATGGTGGCCAAGCCTCGCCGAGACCCCGGGTGGCCTAAATGGGACTTAAAATTTAGGACTGGTACTCTCAACTCGATTTCCCGATTGCTTTAGTCCATCAGAAACACGTCATAACACTTGAAAATTCAGTTCCATTGTGCGAATACTGAGCTGCATAGGCGACAGGTTGGCTTCCCACTTTTCAAACCGACTGTAGCTTTGATCCTTCTTCTACGCGTGCGCATGCACATTTCATACGTAAATGACAAGGAACACCTTTTTCTCCAGCACCGTGAAGGCCACTGGCGCTTGAGACTTCCGGGAAAACCCTGGAAACCATTTTCGCTACGAAACCCACGACATTTTGGCGACGGTTTTGCTAGAACTAGTACCATCCTGATATTGAATATGACTAGAACTATACCTCTCTATTCACTGGCTCAAATTAGGGTTCAGCAAGCGCGCTGAAATCGAATGGTCACATTGTGTCGTCCTACAGCTGTTTTGTAAATCGTGCTGAGTGTGCAATCATTTCGTCCTAATTCATCTTGCTGACTGCGTATGAATTTATTTATTCAGTTGGAAGTCCAATGGGCTCGGAAGCTCCTAATCCGTGGGAGGGAATTCGCTGTGATTCTCCTGTGGAAGCATTTAGTTAGTTTTGTACAATTGTTGCATATTCTATTTTGTAGAAGATTCACCGGAGTTCTTCAATAATATCAAGCTGCATGGTAATTCGATTCTATTTTCTATTGTCTGTGTAGACTTCCCATTTCTTAAAAGCCATTTCTCTTTCGTTGACTATTTGGTCAGGTGCAATGTGTGTAAAGTAATTTTGCTACCTGAAACGGTCTATTCTCACTACGGTAAGTGCATAAGTTTAACAGATTGGTTTTCCTGCAGAAACTCGGCATGCCACCTCTGGCAATGTGGAATGCACTCCTGGTTTTTTACCATACGAAGCCGTTTCCCAGTATAACGACGCTGTTGATGCTTTATCCAAGAGCGAACGCACAAGTGGAATAAAACGCGTAAGAGCTTCTGGCAAGCGTCCCAAGCGCAGTGTTCGCGCGACCGGTCATGAACTGTTGCAGTTTGAGGCGGTTTCTGAGACTGATTCGCTCTCTAGTCTCACAGATGACACATCAAAGCGAGTATCCAACAATGCAAGTGAAGAAGAGACAGACAGGATGCGAGAACCCGTACTTTTGAAGCTGGCAAAAACAGATGGTAGCGCAGTCCAGCCAGATGTAGGAGGGTTACTCTTACCGAAAACAGCGGATTCGTCGTGTCCGAGCACCTGTGAGAGATCTGTGTGGTCTGTCGTTTATGGCACAGACCCTGGGCTATCAGATATCACTAAAAAGACAAATATGAAGTTCGGTGCTCCATCAGATAGCAGTGATGCCGATCAGACTCTACCTGACTCTGGTTTATGTAATCATTCGAGTGACTCAGGTATTGGGTCACTCAGCCTCTCCACACTGAGGCCTTCATCCTACCCACCGACTCCTTCTATGACTCCTCCCTTGTCTAGCCCTGTCACTTCACACATCTCGGATGAGCTCTTATTCGTCGGAATTGGACATAATTTAGATGTCAGAAGAGACCATCGACCTGCATCTCGTTCGTCGACGCATTCCAGCTCAAGCGGCGGCTTCACTGGCTCTCAGGATCGCGACTCGCGTGTTCCTTCTAGATCAACCCTACAAAGCATAGTGGGGAATCAAACCCCGTGCACCACGTCACGAGGAGGTCGCTTAAATCGCCACGTTCCAAAAATTGGCCGTCGTTTCCAAAGGTCTCAATCAATGCTAGCTGACCATTGCATTCCATCTTGCTCGACACTTTCGTCTTGCATTACTGAGGATAACGATGTGGAAGTAGACCCATATACGGATTATTTGCATAGAATACAAGCGGATACCTGCTTTATTACCTCAGGTCCCGTGTCAGAAGTGCGTAAGCCAGCACAACAGGATCTAGTCAACAGGAATGGCTACCATGCGTGGCTTAAGACCTTACGTGGGTCGCAGACTTTTCCGGCATCTAATGGTGCGATATCCAGACCATTGCTTCATCCACAGTTCATTCCTCGGCACTCTAGAAATATGGATGGTTTGCGCGCTGCTCAAGATTCCCAGACAAACTCTTGGCTAGGATCGCATAGCGTTCCTGAAACTTTAATCAACCGGAACTTGCTGTCTATGCACCAGGGTGTTCCTTCGGTGAAGTGTCTCAGAACGTCGTCTTGGCGGTCCAGGCTCTCAGGCGTTCGGACGCTGAACACGATGTCTGCAGTGAGATGCGGTGGAATCGCAACAAATATAGGTGAGTGGGCGACTTTTTTCTCTAGGCTTCATTTTTAAATAGCCTTGTTTTAAAGCAGTTCTGATTTACTTTTTGAAGCACCTGACTGGTTGCTTACTTCACCTCCCTCACGTTTTTGAGCACGTCGACCGGCATTTCCCAGTATTTAATGAGTCGAAACATCCTGTCATTGCAACGGCATTACTGGTGAACTGTCTCAAAGTTTTGTCTCTGGACCTGGGCATCTGCAGTATTTCACCCACTCGATGTTGATTTTGCTGCCATGGGTGATGTTTATGATCATCGTAGCCCTTGGGTGTTGTATACTTTTGCGCCACATGCCATCCGTTTTCCCAAGACGCCTTAGCTAGAATCCGCCCTTGTCTTGTTTGCCTCACTTTTGTACATCATATCCGGTTCGCTTAACAAGTTAACAGCAATATTTGGATTTCAGTTTCGTTCGGCTTGTCCGTTGAAGTTCATGTACAGAGGTCGAAGAGTGTATTTCGGGGTGCAGTGTTCCCTTCACCTCATAATGGGGCACACCAAAGCGGTAATTTATTATTGAATACGATAAGCACTAGTGGATTGCCTATATTCACTAGGGTTTGACGCCGGCGACCAGTCGTTAATGCTGCTGACCATTCTTGTCACGGCCTGTCCGTTGCCATCATGAGGACTTATCACTTTTGAGTTTGCAATGTCGCAGTCAAGAATTGCACTGCTGGTCAGGTTATCCTTTGTCAATCTAATTTTGTAGCCTAGCCTTCGTAATTTTTAGAGTGCATCTAGCTAGTGTACCTCGAACTGCTTCTTCTGAGAACGACGTGACACGCCAGTGTTGCTGGCCCGGTGTTCCTATCAGACAGAAGCTGTCTGTGTAACACCAATGATCAGTCACTGAAGACTCTTTTTCGTCTTCTACACGAATCGGTATCGTCTTCTACCTATAAAACACCAAGCAGCTGAGCATCGGTGTTAAACACTGGTAGTGAGGATGAAACATTGGGGATTGCGGTGCAATTATGCAAGCTACACCCCTGAGTGGAGCTTATGTCACAGTAATGCCATAGATTTTGCAAATCGGTTTTCCGAATTCAGAAAAAGCACAATTGGATTAGTATGAGAATGGCCGCAGCTATGGTAGTGCCTTCTTGGCGACTTTGTCCCCGTAATTAGGGAAATTCAACTGGATCTGCAGGCACACAGTTTGTCATTGGAATATAGCTATACCTGGATGGTGATGGTGGCCCATAATTCACAGGATTGGGTAAGGCCACTCATGGGCTACTTACGAAGTTTTTGAGCTACCTCACTATCATCGTTCTGGGGTCTTGCTTATAGTTTAACAAGTGGCACGCGGTGAACTAGCAGACAGCGGTTGTAGTCCTTACTGGAATATTGCTTCAACTATGAAAATTTTCCTATAAATCTGCGTATTTCCACGGAAGCCAATATTAGGATAGCGAACCGTGTGAGAATGCTTAGTTTTGGAACTGATTACTGTGATCTCTTTGTTTACTCATGGCTTTCGGGAGTGTGTTCAATGGATGTCGCCCCTGTTTTTAGTTTAACATGCTTCCCGTAGTCACATAGGTGAGTATTTTGACACTTACGGACTGTCCTCGAATAGGACGATTGACTGAACCAGATTGTGTTCTGGTGGAAGTTCTGACTTACCAACGCAATTCGATTATCACGCATCAGGACCGATTTTTTCATGGTGGACTTTCACCATGGTTGCTAGACCGACTTTGTTGGTGTCATTTACTGAAATCACAGTAACCTTTTCGTTATTTTCAGGTACTTCTCTTGATCCAGCTGCCCAGTGTAACTGTGTGGAAGTGGGTGAACTGTCTTACCGTAACCCAGTAATATGCCCCGTAAGTTTCATCTTACACATTTTGGTGGCATTCGTAAATTCCTGCATATTTTCAAATTATTCTCAGCAGGAGCCATGCGAACAGGGTAAACTATCTACTAACAATCCTTGGGTTGCGATCCTCGGATGGTTATGGAATAACTTCAACACTCGCCAAGTGCTATATGTTCGGAATTTCTGTTGTACTCTCTTATCAACTGTCTACCACAGCATTAGAACGTTCTATAATATACTCATATTTAGATATAGG